TAATCACATCCTAAACAAGTCTAAAAATACCCATTGTACTAAATAGGGATTAGGAAGTCACTTACTAGGTTTTGGCCCGGAGAAAATCGGCTTGGGCCTAAAATGGCCCGGGTGAACAGTGTTGAGCTAGGCACGGGTGCGGGCCAAACGGGCGCACTGACCGGCCAACACGGGCACGGCGGCCGAACGGTGCGCCTGGCGCACGGGCGCGGTGGCCGAATGGCGTGCCTGGGGCGCACGGGTAAGCTGAACCAGCGACGTGCCTGGGCGACGGGCCGGCTGGATGGGCGAGCGGCCTGCGACGCGGGTAACGGCCGGGGGCAGGGCTACTGGCCGGGAAGCGACCAGGGCGACGAGCGGCCCCCGGCATCGGCTAGGGACGGCTCGGCCATGGCCTAAGCGACTTGGCGGGCCGGGCTAAGTGGCCGGTAGTAGGGCCGGGCCATTGGCCGGGCCGGAGAAAGGCGGCGGAGGCTCGGCCACGACAAGGACGATCCGACCACGGCCCGAGCTGGGCGGCGTTGGGTGGACCCGAGGCGGGCACGGCGGCTGCGGGTGGGCGCGGGGTGGTGGCCGAGGCCGGGTGGTGGCGGCGGGCGGCCGGGCCGGCCGGCGCGCGGCGGCTCGACGAGCGGCGGGGCCGGGGTGAGCCAAAACGGGGAGGGCGTCGGGGAGAAGAAAACGAGGGGAAGGGAGGGGGTGGCGAGAGAGGGGGGGCCAGGGGATGAGGGGGCGCGGCCGGCGGCAACGGGCGGCACGGCGGCGTGCTGGTCCCGGCGACGCGGCGGTGAGCCGAGCGATGACGAGTTCGGCTCGGCGAGCCGGGCTCGCGACAAAGAACGGGCGGGCGGCGGCCGGGCGGGGCGGCGGTGCTAGGCGGACTGCCGGCGACGGTTGGGCGCAGCGAGCGGCCGGCTAGGGACGAGCTCGGGCGGTCGGGCTTTGCAAAGAAGAAGAAGGGGAACCGCAGAAGCAGTCACAGTCGGGGGCGGAAGAAGAAAAACCAGAGAAGAAGAAAAGAAGAAAAGGAGGAGAGAGAGGGGGCAGGGGGAACGTGCGCGGAGAGGACGATCGTGAGAGAGAGAGAGAGAGAGAGAGAGAGAGAGAGAGAGAGAGAGAGAGAGAGAGAGAGAGAGTCAAACATTCTTTTGACTCATCCTAGGGCTCACATTTGATCTTGGTGAGCAAGCCAAGATCCTAGGATCACGAAAATTCCAGATTTTCAATTAAAGAAAAGGCTAAAAAGACACTAAATAAAATAAATCTAGAGGGTGGTATACTGGTCAAAATCCGCACCCGGTCCAAATTTCACTTTTCGATAATTCCGGGCAATATCGACGCTGGCCACAATAATATCGACACCGTCCAATTAAATTTGTGACGAAACTTCGAGAAATTAAACACAAAAGTTTGGGCTATAAATAACGGCCAAATTCGATCGAGTGCGATTCTAGCGAAATCTCTAGTTTAAAGAAAATAACCCAGGAATGATCAGTTCCGGGCGAGATTTTATTATAAGCGCACTGACGAATTACACGTTTTATAAATCCCAACTATGTTCCGAAATTCGGAATGTCACACCGTGCATTGGAGGCTGCCCGGTGAGGCATCATCCGATGTGAACTCGCTGCACTTGTCGGTCGCATAGCTCCCCAAGCTGGCTGCATGGTTTCTCAAGCACTCTCTATATGCCTCATTCCTATTATCTCCTCTCTCTCTCTCTCTCTCTCTCTCTCTCTCTCTCTCTCTCTCTCTCTCTCTCTCTCTATGTTAGAGAGAGTGTGTATGTGTGTTGTCTTTTAATTAGCAATCATGGGTTTCTGCTATCTTTCAGCATGCTCTGTGAACGATCCAAAAAGAAATTTGCACGTCGTTTCCCACCCCCAAAAAGAGCAGAATATTAGAATTTGGATCCATGTGATGATGACGACGAACTGTGGCTCCATGAAATTCAGTTTTCTGCTATTCATTTATGGCTTCCATTTTTTTTTCCTATGTCCCTATCGCTATGGAATTTGGATTACCAACACAGAACACTCTCTGGTGCATGCTTGAACAAAGTTGAGTTCTAGTTAATAAATGTCTGCAGGACACTTTGTTGATATGGAGTTCAGTAAAAGCTACTCCTGTTTTTTGGTCGAATAATAGCTACTCCTTTCAATTGCGGTACGTACGATGTATTTCTACTGGAGGAAAGAAGATGCCGCTTGAAGATGCCTCGATGCGAACCGTAAATACAGACAAAAATAAGTAGAAAACTATATTATACAAGTTGGCAAATTGACTTTAGAATAATGTAAAAAGGGATGCCTTTCTCATAGCTCATTCGACAGGGATTGGCATAAACGAAGTTCTTGTCTAATTTGTCGGCTGCCGAAAAAAATTGTTTTTTAGGGGTTAGTTCAAACAGCTGCTATTGATTTGTTTTAGCAATGTCTAGGAAATCTTTTAATGTCTTTCTAGAGAATTCCTACCCCTTCATTAAAATAATGTCAGGCCACTTTCTATTAATGAAAAAAAAAAAAACTAACGAGCAATATTCACATGCTCTAGGTGCTAACGTACATGAGCCAATGACAAAAACATATTCGATCCAAACGAAAATGACAAAACCATATCAGTTAGATTGGGTTTTGTTAATAAATATATGTAGCACGCTTAATATTCAAATAAGGAGAGTTTACTATTTTCAATCTTCAATCTGATTTTTCTCGAACATCGACACTTATAAAATAATACAAAAAAGGCCGAGAACAGATGGCAGTGCAATTCAAGAGAAGACGTCACTGATGACGTATGATTTAGCGTGCATTTGAATCCATCCCCATCACATCTTCCACCGACTCCTGATAATAAAAGTCGCATACACCCAAAGTTTACCAGCCATTTATCTAGCTGGAACCCAGTTTGAAAAATAATTTTAAAAAATGACAATTTCGACGACCTTCTAGTTGTTGTCTTTTGAAGTTGGACCATCCATTGAATAATTTGTACGATCTCTACCCAAACTGCTGTGGGTCTCCAAGAGGAAGCGCCCACCGTATAAGAAAATTTTCGAGTAAACGTCAGAAAGAGAAAGTGCACAAGCTTATATGGTGCCTACATGCACAAAACTTTCTAAGAAAGTACCCTTTCGATCATCGCATTCTTGTAAATGTTTGATTTTAATCCTTATAGTTTGTTTAATGACAAATCCTGTCAAAAAGATATTTGTTAAATTGATCAAATGTTGATAAAAAAATGTTGATAAAAAAAATTGTTCAAATGTTTTTGACCCTTTAGCAAATTGAATTCATTACCCTGGATAATCCAAATCTAAATCGAGCACATATTTAGGTGCCCTTTTTTGCTAGTGAACTGAATAATCGAACTGATCTAGGTGGACTGATTCCTTGTATATATTTTGTGAGCATCTTCTTAGACAATGTTCATTACATTGATACATGATAAATTAGAGCAACTATAGCACAAAATATTGATGTAAAAAAATATTTCCTAAAGCGGTCTTGTTCACTCTTCGTGTGATGGTTAGTAAGAAAGGGGATAGTTAAATTCCTCAAATCAAAAGTGGATAAACCACATCTTGCTCTAGTACTAATTAATTAACTGATCGGTAATAAAAATGTGATTGCAAGTCTCGAGATATCGAAAGATGAGATGCACTCTCATTCATTTTGAGCTATAGAGACTCCCACAAACAAATCTAAACAATGGAGAGCATCTTTCGGATCAAGCTGGACAAGTAATATTGGTACGTTTATCTTTGATTAAATTATTCTTCTTGACCTCGCCCCTCGCCCTCGAGTCAATGCGATGCTTGTCTGGAAATATGTTCAATTTTCCAGGGAAATTAGGCCTAAAGATTGATATTACTTTTTTAATGAGAAGGTTCGGTGACTTTAGCCAAACACAATACCTATCCATATAAAAGGCCTAATTCTCTAAATATGTTAAATAGGTTTTACTTACCACCCAAAATATATCTAAGCATATTAATATTGTTATCCAACTTGGTTGGTGCAAGATGTGAAGCAATTTGTATGTTCCATAGGGAGTCCATCCATTTAGATACCATTTAATGCATTTTTTTTATTTAGTTACTCAATAAAACAAAGCTCTTCAGACATTGACTCAACTCCAGTCAAAATATTTGTATTAAGAATTGAGTAAAATGTTAAAAATTGAATGTATCAATTACTTCATTTTACAGTAGTAAGAAGCTTATTCTTATATCCCCTTGTAACATTGCAAGCTAAAAGAATTATCAATGCTATTTATATACCAACAATCCAAACTAAAATGTCAATACTTGAAATTGTGGATTGTAAAAAAAAAAAGGAGTGCTTCACGAGCACTCTTTTGTATAGTATTAAATTACAATACTTTGAGTGCTAATTTATCACTTTAAATTCAAGAGCTTAACTATTTTCTTCTCTAAAGCAAATCAACTTTAGCTCGTAAGTTAAGAGTATTTTGCCTTAAATGCATCTACCCTAAAAGGCATCAAACATGAATGTAATAAATATATCAGCCTATGCATATCTACCACTAGGAGAGTACTAGGTATATTTACCACGTTAACTATTGCGATACTAGCATATTCAACCTATCGATATATACAATTGTCAATCATTAGTTTGACACAATAAGTTGACATCTGATAACAAAATACACCATCTTATCGAATTCAACACAAAATTGTTTGGTCACCAAAAGGTGATGCCATGACTTTACGTTTTTAAATTTATAGTATTGATAATTCATTATATGCGTGCTATTTAGTTCTGTAATAGTTTCTTTAAGTTTGCATTTACTTTGTACATTTTTTCACACTTGCTTTTACAATATCATATTGCACGAAAGTTTGACTAACTTGCTGGAAAGGGGAAGATCTTCATAAGCTCTCTCAATCTTCCTAGAACAGAGCAGAAACCCAATAGTATGGAGTAGAGCAGAAAGTACGTAAGGCCTGGCTAACCTCAGGCCAAACAACAGAAAGCTTCAGATAATTGTTCTATATCGAAATTGGAAGGGTGTCATCTCGGAAGTGACCAACAGAAGTGAAATCTGGCCTGGGAATTGGCATAAACGTCTAGAACTTTTACAAGCATAACATCACCTAGTATAATTGTTTACTTAACCAGCCCATTACTTCCTGGGCAATACTGATTTACTGCCAGTCTGCCATCAAATCCATTTATTAAGAAAAACTGCTGAATGAGAAGCAAGAACAGGGAAATGACTCATCGACTCAATCTAATAGATCATACTGCCAACTATTTGATTTGAACAGACAGGACGCTTACAATATTTCTGATTAGAAAGACACCAAATATACTGAAGCACAAAACCCCATCTTTATCTCCACTGCAAAGGATATTGAAACATTGCTCTGAAGAATTTGAGAGCTCTACAAATGAATCTTGACCATCGTCTGTTAAACCAGCATCTCCGGGTACTAGTCCAGGCATGTGAGGAACTTTTGGAGCTGGAGGGAAGAATCGAGTAGTGCGATCTTCAAAAGCCAAAAAGTTACCAGAAGTGTTCTATAAAACAAATGAATAATTACTTTCCAGTTGGAAAATAAAAAGATGAAAAAATATGAGATTAAAGCTAAGGAGCCAAACAAATCAATCAGTTACAAATGACACCAAACAAACGCTTTCCAAAAATCTTCCATAAACCCATACTAAAGCTATTGGACCGTGACATAAGATTCCAAGTTTGAAAAGAAGTATTTAAGAAAACTAGACTAAAATAACTACTTAACTGGAAACGAAGCATTATGAAAGGCGTGAGCCATAAAATATCTGCTATTGGTAATAAAGATCACGAAGTCAAATCAAATTTTAAGTTGAAAGATGCATACTCTATTCAGTTAGGTATCCTCCTCCCAGTTGAGACACCACAGCTGCCATATGGGACTTCAAGCTTCTTAACAGTTTTCCATTCTGCTTAATATTTATACCCTGTTAGAATGATTATACCACAGTGTGCATAACAGCTGCAAGCACTAGCATATCAAAAGCAGCACACCGCATATCCATAGTTCCATAAAGACAGCTACTTGGGTAATATAACATTCATTATGTACAAACAAACTCTCTTCTCAGCAAAATATAATCCATGAAGTGGACGATTGATTATAAACTGGTAGAAATCTCAAAGGAACAGAATTGCAGCAGCCTCAGCCAAGTTCTCAACCATTCTACTCATGACCAAGCAGCTATAGCTTAATAAAAACATAACCAGTTATTTACAAACTTTTCCACCCACAAGAATAATTGAGGCAGATACAAATCATATCATTTAAGAGTCACCTAAATAATTACCTTCCTAATTTGACTAAACTAAACATATTTTACTGATAATTGACAGAAACTATTAATTTTGATGAAAATGAGTATGTCACAGATGAATGCTTCTATATGACACCATCCACTTAGACCATAGACTCTCACAATGAGCTGGACCCCAGAAAACACTATGCCGTAATTTGTCGTTGACAATTGAAATAGTTTCAATCATTGATGACAACATTAGCAGCGAGGTGAAAATTATTTGTCCTACATGAGAATGCAATTGCACACATCAATCAGATAACTCCTAAAGTATATAAAATCTATTGAATGAGTGTATTAATTTTGTATGATATGTGATTAAAGTAATTCACTGCTGATTTCACCGATTAGATATGAGTCAATCAATTTCCTTGATTCATAATTGAACTTATGCATCAAACAATGTAGTGTCCAAAACATTTCATGGCTTTGATGCAGGACAATGAGTCCCACAATAAAGAATATTTATTTAGGCATCACATGCAAAACTACCTAACCATCACACCTAGGGTTTCTTAAGCATCGCACCAAAGAGGAATTGCATCACACAATATGCAAAGCAAACACTTGCCTAGTTCAATAAATTATCAACTCTATTGAAAAGTAAAAATTACAACTATATTATTAGATTCTCTAGAAGTTCTACTCCTAGTTGAAATAGGAAACCTATAGACAAGAAATAAAATTGGAGTATATATAAGATCCTACTACTCAAACTTCAAAAAAAAAAAATTAGGGAAACTTCGTATAATCCTAACAATACTCAAATCCTGGGTTTTAAATTTTAGTGATTAAACTTCGAGAAGAATCCTGATCCTTGTTTGAGTTTCAAAGTCAATCTTCACCAAAAACTTGGTAGTCATCTTGCATGATTTTGTTGGCTGCATCAGGCTTAGTGGATGATCTAATTGTCTAATACTAAATTCTATGAATGGGAACCCAATTACAATACTTAGTACACGATCTTTGTGTCCTTGCAGTCAAATGGGTACTTATTTGATAAAAGAAAAATAATTTGTAGTAATATCTCATGTCTGGAAATAATAACATTAGTCGAATTTGAAGTATCTTTATCATTAGTTATTACCTAACAATAAAAATAAGACCATACTTTACAATTAATTTACATCTATTATGGTATACCAATCTCAAACATTATATCAGATTTTATGATTCCAATGGATGAAATTCACGATCCACAATCCATAGATTTAATTTTTTGATTCATGACTCATATTTCCATGTGACAACTAAGGGTGACCCTAAGTGGTTATCATGTCATATCAAAATTGTGGCTACCTACTTAATAGAAAACACAATTAATAAACGAATATTGTTCCGGGTTCAAAGTTCAAACCGCAAAACACAAATTGACTCGTGTAATCTATCTAACTAAACAATAGTGCCAACTTGATTAACAACCTGAACTATCATGACCTGTTTATATTTAGTTCAGTAAATTCTCTAATAGTAAATCATACATGAATTTTGTTTCCATAGTGGTTACAAATTACAATTTGATCACACCATATAAATGTAACATTTCATGTAAACCTAGGATTTTGTAAGCTTACAACTAGTTTCTTTTCAAATTATTTGACATTGATGACGATATGCATATTGTACAGATGTTGTGTCGGTCATGTTAGGATTGGAATGACCCATTCAACTCAATCTAATTAGTTATATGGGTTATTCATCTTTTGTAATTTGTTGACCTATTTAACAAAAGGGTCATGTTTGAATAGAGTTTTCTAATAAAATTTTTTGTTAATCTTATCCTGCTCAGATTAACCTATCTAGCAATCCATTGTTAACTTGACATTGACAGACGTGACCAATAAAAATGGAATGCCATCTCTATTAGCAGCTAAATGTTCACTGAGCAAGTTTGCTGTTTGCATTGCATCATGCAGATTTTGAGTAATTCAGAATCTTTCCCAAGAGAGATCAGAGAAGAACACGTTGTGATGAAAAAAGGACTGTTCCAGTAGGAATTTCTAGTTGAGAAGTAATGAGGGTAACGTTCAAGTAACAACATAGAAAACTTACTTCGAAATCATGCAGTAAAACTGTACCTTCTTCAAGTCCGAAGACAACAACCTTGCCATCAGGACGCCAGCATAATGATGTTACACTGGAGTAGATTAGAATGATTAAGAAGAGCCAGTATTGATGTGTGCAAAGAAAGTAAGCTCATTATAAACAAAAAAGAACACACACACACAGAGTGAATAATTTGTTCCCAATAAAATTAACAGAAGAAGAGGAAAGATAGAGCACACACATTAACCGACAAAATGTTAATCAAAATTTGTGAAGTAAGGCAAAACGTCAAAACTGTACAAAATAATTGAGAAGGATATCGGTCACTTGATATGGGATTTCTTTGGGTTAGTAGGTAATCTAAAGCGTGGGAATCTATATCTTATGGGCAGGCTCCAATCCAATATCTGATTCAAAAAACAGATCTTGTTGTTCAACTAAGGAACTTCAAGGTAGAGTGGATGCACAAAAGCTTACTTCAGGCGAGGATTACAAGTGTGACTTAAGATCTTAACAGAAATCATTCAGGATTGGCTCAAGTACTATAGTGCACTCAAAACGTTCTCCATATCCAGAAGACAATATGACGAACGAAGCATTCAGGTGTTTCTGAAGAAAAAATCTCCTCACTAAAGTTTTCCAGTGAGAATAGACGGCAAGAATTACCAAGGCTGGGCATCTAATCCTAAGATCTTACTAATTTGAATTACCGAAAGATTAAGTCATATAGGATCTTAACATACTTGGACGCAGCTCCCCTTACCCTCCTAGTCCCTTTGCTTTCTCCAATTCCTCCCTCCTTCCCTCTCAACCAGATTGTCATACAAGTACACAGCACAGCTCGAGATATATCCTATTCAAAAGTTAGACTCCCACCAGCGACCTTGATTAATCAAAATGATGTGGCGAAATGCCCCTCTGCAATGCGAAGAAGATTAACTAAACTTCAAGCAATACAAAATGTGAGAAAATTTCTACCTATAGTCTATATTTCAGTATCCACTAAATCTCTCCGTGTAGGGCACGCACAGTCAGTAAAAGAATGCTCAATCAGTAAAAGAAGAGGAGCCAGCAGTAAAATTACATCGGGAGAGTCACCATCATAAATCTAAGCAGATCTTTTTAGATGCCTCATGACATTTAGATGGTCTTCTGCAGGGGCTAAACCTGAGAACTCCAAGTGGGGCATCAAGCATTTCTGCATCTGACATACCTAATCTATCTAGCATAAATGACATCCCCTCCAATTCATGTTCTTTATTTTCATGTACACATTAACTGGTGTACCGAAAAGGGTAACAACTCCTTCGTTCTCTAGATTTTCCACTCGCACCACCATCATTCACCCTTCGTTTCTGGGTAGAACGACCAAACTCCTTAGTTCGACGTTCACCTTCTCAGTTAGACTTCCAAGCACTTTATACCTCTATATTCGTCCAATTCTCCATCGAATGCAATTAGAGCTAGATTGGGAATTACAGTGGTTCCTATGGCGAAAAAGGAAGCGCGGCACATTTAGGAAAAGCGAAAGAAGTAGAACGAGATAAGGGCAATGACTCACAGGGCACACCAAGCCATCGTTGAAGAAACGAACACACTGAACAAAGAAAGAAACAGAACTTTCTCGAATCGAAGCAATTACCAGGAGAGAGATTGTCCACAGCCTCTTGCCAATTGAAGCGACGAAGCACCACCCACCTCCGAGTCCCTCAGTGTGACCATCGCCATCAAATCCTTCTCCGGATTCCACTCAACTCACGCCATCTTCACCTACCGCCCATCGGAAGAAATCGAGCGACAGCCTCACCAAACCGAATCGGAAGACAATCGAATCGACCTTGAAGCTGAAACGGAAGCACGCGCCGGCAACCCTTCTTCGTCGGTCTCCCATTGCAAGAAAGCTCCGCCTGCTGGAGCAAACCGCGAGGGAGTGCACAGAAGCGTCCGGGCGAAATGGGCCGGGCCGGGCCGGACTTCATAACTATATTATAGCCTTGTCAAACAACGCCCAGACTCATCGGACATCACATTGATGTGAATGCGGTGGCGGATTAGTTGTTGAAATGTGAATTTGTAAAAAAACCAATGTGATAATTGATCCTCATTTACCATTTGAACAGAAAGAAATATGCCTCGTGAATTATTCGAATCGGCACCAAGGTTAGCATGACTTTTTTTCGCCCAAATGGAAAACAATTGAAACATTGAAAAAATAAATGACTTAAATTCTTATTGCTTAGACCAAAAGCAAAAAACAAAAAAAAAATGTCTTGTTGCAGATAGGTGGAGCTTATCGAACAATTGCAAATTCAAATGAACGTACCAAATTATTGCCTCGGTTAACTTTACCGTGTTCGTTGTAAAATCAATTCACGGGCCCAAAAATGCTGCCATTGCAGATCGTTATTTGGCTGGATCGATCAACTAGGTAGGAACGCAAACATTTTCGGGACGCGATCGCATCATGCGACGGTAAGCTACGGCACACAGATTTCAGGCACTTCTATGGATCCAGTCGCTTTTCAGCTCCAGACACTTCGTGCATGCCATAACTATCTTGTCGCATAGATGGATTGTCGGTCTCCCACATGGATCTCAACCTCTGCAGGCAGCTAATAGACAAGCGGGGGTTCGGAATGACTGCTCGGTACGAGCTCTACGCCGATATGCTCTCTCGGTGTTTGAAGCCGGACTTTGTACCGCAGGTCCTATCTAATCGGATGATCCCTTACTGCATAAGAAGTCCTCTTAAGTTGTTGATTCGCAGCAATGCATATTCAGGGATGACTTTATCCAAATAATGTCTACTTTCTGGACTTCATCAGCACACGTGAGGTCTATACGTGTAGTCTATCGGTTGACGGAATTGGAAATGGACAATTCAATACTCTTGCATTAAAATGAATCGGAAGGGAACTCGATCATCCAAATTAACTTCTTGTCCACGTGTCTATTCACCTGCGCATGATCTATAATCAACTAAATTATGTACTCGTGAAAATCGTTCCTTGAACCCTTAAGGACAACCCAAACAGTTCTAACTCTGTGTGTCCGTTAAGTGTCGATGTCGAGGAAAAGCTTGGCAGGCTTCAATGTACAAATTGCAAAATGGGTTTGTCGAGGAATTAGTGTCCGACACCTGTAAGTTTATCAAACAGAGAAATACCACCAAAAATCTTCACCCATGTCCACATTGATGCCAATGCCTTTTGTCATAGGTCCGTCCAAATTTGCCATTAAAAAATCCGATGTGATGACTTGTGCGGACAACTGAAGGTAAATGGAGCTTATGTGGATGTAGAAAATTCCACCACCAAGCTTAATTTTGTTTAGTATGAAACCAATATCCCAAGCCTTTTTTTTTTCATGTCACCAATGCCTCAAACATATTCCGTCTCTCCATGCGCGTTGCTCTTTGGTATTTGTCACCTAATTAGAGCCAAAAGCTGCCTACGGCAAGGGGCAGACATATTTAAGATCCATACGTCAAAATTATGGAATTTTTGTTAAGTCTAAACAGAATTGTTAACCAAATCAGGTACTAGTCATGTCTGAAAACTTAAACATCGATAAATTGACATTCTTAAAAACACGACGTGGTTTTGTCATCTTTTTCATGATGATGCACTTAATTAAATTCCCATAATGTTTCCAACCGCAGAAAGCATATCAAGACATGATATATGAATATATGAAAAAAAAATAAAAAAAATTATCAAAAAAGTCATAAACTTATTATAATTGTGCCTATTAAGTTCAAAACTTTTTTTTTTGCTAATTGAGTTATAAAACATTTTGCATTTATGTCAATTCAGTCCATCTAGCCAATTTTAATTGTAAATCACTCACATGGATGTTTGCCATCCTACGTGGCATAGCCAAAACTGACGTCGATAATTTTAAATAATATTTTAATATTTTTTCGATTTATTTATTTATTTTTCTCTTTTTTTTCTTTTTTTTTTTCTTTCGTTTCTTCTTCTAGTCCTAGGACCTGGGCGACCAGCTAGAGGTGAGGGACCTCGTTGTCGCTTGCGATCTTGCGACCCAAGCGGCCCTCACCGGGGTCACGCAACCCCATGCGGCCCTCACTTGGGTCACACGATTGTCGTGGGGGGTCGCCGCACAAGGTCTTGCGACCTCGGCTAACGGCCGTCAGCGCTAGATTTGGCTCGCTTGGCAACCTGAGCCCTTTGCTAGAGCCGTTGAAGGATTTGAATTCCTTTTAATTAAAAAATAGAAAAATTGCAACCAAAGCCCTTTGCAAATTTTTTTTTACCAAACACTACTCCACCCAAAGTTGCTTTACAAAATATTTTTTACCAAACACAATTTGCATTTCTCTAAAACCCTTTAGACTAAAGGCCTTTGCATTTCCTCTGTCAAAATACTGAACCAAACACCCTGAGAGCTAGCAAAGGATGACTTGTCAAACAACGGCATCCTAATCCTGCGTCTTTGGCCGAACCATGCCCCCCTCCTTAGGACTTACCTATCTTCTTGAAACTCGTCATCCACACCCGTGCTGGTTCGAACGCTTTCCGATATTAGGGGATGATGCCACCAGTAGGTGTAGAAAGTCATTTGAAATAGCCACACCCAGGAACATAGAGCTGGTTTCACAACTAAAGCCCCGGCTAACAAAATCAGTAGGGCGAGAGAGAGAGAGAGAGAGAGAGAGAGAGAGAGAGAGAGAGAGAGAGAGAGAGAGAGAGAGAGAGAGAGATGATTCAATAGGAAGTCCAGTCTACTGAATTTAAAGCAATGGATGGCTTAGGTTGAGTTCAAGATACGTTACATCAAAGCTTTTACAATGTAATGAAAATGCATTAAGCTACACAAAATGAAAAAAGAGCACAAGGTAGTAAGGAAAAAGATCCAGTCATCCAGGAAGCCAAAATTATACATTGTTGTAACATAATCTCGTCTACGGAATTGAAATAATGCATGGGATACAAAATTTGAATGATAGGATCAAGTGATCGGCACATGATGGGGGCGTCTCATAGCTTTCTGTCCAAGCATACGCCTCACTTGGAAGTCTTCTTTTTACGAAACGAACTTCCCTCGACACTGCCGCCATCTCCTATGATAGTATAACATCCATTTTATGCTTTGCAAATGTCTACAGCTAATAAAGGTATGTAATAAAAAATGCTGAACCAGCTCACTTATTCCTTTAGCAAACCGCAACAAATACGAAGCCTTTCTCGATCTTGCTTAACCAACACCAGCTCTTGCCCCTCACTCTCAATCCAAAAGGTATTCTCTTTTTCATTCTGTTGTCCTATAAATACAGCTTTTGGGCCACACCACTAATCCGGAAGTACCCCAGAATCTCAGGTGAAACTTAAAAAACCCGGAAGCCAAAGTGTGAAAAAGCCTCACGTTTTACCTGTCATGGCTTCCGATGTAAATATCAACTGGCATAGTGTAAATAATTCTCATTCAAGCATCTGTTGGGTTGCAGTGAAGGATGAAACAAGGGCCTGCACAGGTAAAACATCACTGAATGCCGATAAGGCAGCGGCTGAACTGTCCTTGAATATGCCCACTTTGACCATCAGTCAGGATGGATCCCAGTTTCAATGTGTTCTCTCCAAATCTGCTGCTAACCTGGCCAATTGTGGGAGAAAATAATATCAGATGTATGTCATAGAACATGGAAAAAGACTTTCTTTCCAAAAGACCTAGCCAAATATCTGACATCTCTGAAACTAAAATCTTCTCACAATTACAATGTTCAGCAAAAAGCCAATGTCTACTCCCAATGTACGCAAACAACATGAAGTACATGGTACTATCTCGGTGCACAACTACGCAAACAAGCTCAAAAAAGGAAGGCCAAAGTTATAAACTTTTATCACCACTTTCGACAGCTTGCACCACCGAGTTTTCTTGCACCGTGTCCCAGACTATTGGTACTTATTACATTCCATGTCACAAATGACTCAGCTTAACTTAAACAAGTAATGCATGCAATGAAACAGAAAACCCCCAATAAACACCCCGACAACCAAAGATATAATCAAATTTAAAATTATGAGCGTCTCCAAATAAGAAAATATCAAGGCTAAAAGATTAAGTCCAAACAGAGCTTAGAAAGTTAGATGTATCATCTCCAACACAGATGTTCACGACACAACTCTATAAAGCAGGTAGATGACTAGCCAGGGACATGATAAAATAATATATAACAAGGCAAAGAAAAAGAACCAAAAGAAAGAAAGCACACTCACCTGCATAAAAGACTTCAACAATGGAGTTTGCAACTCTAGAAGATGATCCGTCATCCAAATCATTTGTTCGAGAAATTTCTCCATTACTATAAGATTTCCGACTCTTCAATGAAAAATGTTCTATAGAAACACCAGTAGTTGCTTTAGATGTGTTCCTTGAAGACAATGCGGGTACACCGCAGCATGAATTCAATAACAAGAGACGCTTTTCTTGAGATAATCTGGTCACAAAAGCTCAAATATTTATCCCGTAAGCACAAACACATGGAAAGGTATATTTAACCGATTGGAAGTATTTAAACCGGGAACTGTGGAGCATCTCGTAATATTTGATTCCGCATTCGAGGCGTTTCTGCACCGTATCCACATACAACCGATTAAGTTGCACAAAGAACCCGAAGAGGACAAAGATGCCGTAAATATGACTGTCTCTCATTCTCCCACGATATGGCTCTAACCTTTGATGAATGAACAAGAAAACACTATTAGGTAACTGCAACAAAATGAAGAGTTATAATCACAAAACTATCTATTGGGATGTAAACATAACTCAGCTAATACCAGATAGATGGTCCAAGGGTGTCAATTAGCTATTTCTTCTTACATTTTAACATAGTAAGTAGACCACCAAAAGAAGGTAAAGATTGTAACTATTTTCGGTGAATTCATTTGAAGTCATCACTGATAATCCTAGGGAATTTTAATGTTTCCACCTTCTTCCCTCGCCTCTCATGTTCGTCCTTTTCCACCTTTTCCAAAAAGAGCATTTAGTACACAATCAAACAAAACTACAACTAATTGCACAAAATTGAGCATCATCATCTAAGCATCATTTACATGTGAAAGAGCAGTTCAGATATCAGAATAATCTCACATGCAATAACTTCTACCCAGTTTTAACAAAAGGCAACCGCTTGACCATGAACGAATTCTTTCTATTCCTACTATTGTCATTTACCCTCTAATCTAAGCACGGATCATATAAAATCTTCATCTCTTAGCTTAAAAGCCACTCTTTGAAACAAATTTAAATGAAAAAAAGAATCAAGGTTTTAAACTATCAGATGCCAATATTTGTGAGAAGCGAGATTGGATTTTGTAGAAACATCTTGGAGTACCGTGTGCTTATAGAATATGTAATGCAAAAAACAAATCCAGTAACTTACGTGAGCCAGTCTATGGGACCCAATCTCTGTGAAAGACAATGTACCAATCCATCCATACATGTTCTGATGGCAGACTTTTTCTGTCTTTGATCCTTTTGCCTAAACGAATACTTTGGCTTTGAACTTCTAGACAACTCCTCATCCGTAGTGGAATCACCTACAGAAAGAATATCATATACAAACTTTAAATCTAACATAACTTGCAAAGCTCCTTTATTTGATCACTTTAGATCCATTAGCTTCTTCAGTAGAAAGGTAGTTTCCATATATATCAGTCACCTGTATAAGCAAAAACAGTCAGTTAATAAACACCAGATTAAAATAAGTTATAAACATGAAGCAATCACAAAAACCACTGTCCACAGATTTGAGTAAATGAAAAAAGTCAAAAGACACAACTTGTAAGTCGTTATTCATTATGGGGAAAGTAAGAGGACTTTATAATATCGTAAGACCTAAACCACTATAAATCAGAAAAGGCTCTTTACAGCTTCTCAAGGCAATAGTAATCATGAATTTCACAAGGCTCTTTACAGTGACCTTGATCAACATTTGCATTTGATCACTGTGGCCGGCGAGGGTCGTCGTAGCTCGCTGGCTATTGGACTCTAATAAGATTTGTTAAGCTTATCCTACTCAGATTGCCCTATCGAGCAGTCCACTTAATTTGACATTGGCAGACATGAACCATAAACATGGATTGCCATCTCTATTAGCAGCTAAATGTTCCTTGAGCAAGCTTGTCAGTTCGCATGCATCATGCAACTTTTGAGCAATTCAGAATCTTTCCCGAGAGAGATCGAGAGAAGAACACATTCGATAACAAAGGATTGTTGCAGGAAGAATTTCTAGTTGAGAAGTAGTGATGGTAATGTTAAAATAATAACATAGAAAATTTACTTCAACATCATGCAGTAAAACCGTACCGTCTTCTAGTCCCAAGACAACAACTTTGCCATCAGGACGCTAGCATAATGATGTTATACATTTACCTGGAGTACATAAGAGTAGTTAAGAGAATACAGTATTGACGACATACAATGAAACATGCAAAGAAAAGTGAGTTCATAAACAACAACAACAAAAAAATTAATAGACGAAGAGGAAAGATAGAGAACACACATAAACCAACAAAATGATAATCAAATTCGTAACAGTACAATATAATTGAGAGGGATATCGGTGGCTTGATATGGTGTTTCTTTGGGGGAGTAAGTCATCTAAAGCTAGGGAATCTATATCTTTTTGGCAGCCTCCAATCCATTGTCTCAATCCAAAAACGAATCTTCTTGTTCAGCTTTGGAACCTCAAAGTGGTGTGGATCCATGAAAGCAAACTCAAGGCAAAGATCACGAGTGTACAAGTATCTACAACATAGGATCTCAACAGAAACCATTCAAGGATTGGTTCAAGCACTATAGTGCTCTCAACAACATGTTTTTCGTATCCAGAAGACAATATGACGTTTGAAGCATTCAGATGTGTTAGTTTTATTATTAGATAATTAGCAAGTTGGGTTTATTTTAGGAAAGGGTATTTAGGTCTTTGTATCAAGGCTTAACCCTAAGCCTATATATACTTGGTTTATCTCAATAATAAAGTAGATCTCTTTTACCAAATTACATGGTATCAGAGCCACAATAAAACCCTAATCCTAATCCTAAATTAAGCCCTAACCCTAGCCTACTGTTCACGGCCAGCGAAGAACCCACACGTCTCACGCGTCGTAGCTCGCGCGACTCAGCGCGACCTCGCGCGCTCCTCGGCGCGACCTCGCGCCCCCCCGCGCGCGACTCAACGCGCCTCCAGAGCGCGACTCAGCGCCTCTTCCAGTGATGTGATTCGCAGAGAGAGGCAACAGATGTGAAGAAATTTTTGGTCATGTTCCGTTGCTTCTCTCCGATCCGTCTTGGTTATGGGATTTTTTGCTCGTGTTTCTCTCGCTGTCTTGCACCGTCGATGTGAAGACATTGTTTTTAATTAAAGTGTAGTGGTGGTTGATGTGGTGAGCGGATCTGGTTGATGTGGTAGTGGAAGTTGGTGTGGTGACTTGTAGTGTGATTGATAGTTGTCTGTTGGTGGTGTTCACATTTTTTTTTAGTGGATTTGGTGACAATCTGATAGATTACAGTGTTCTCTTTTTAATTGGTGGATATGTCTACTGATTCAGTAACTTCGAATGTTCGTTCAGGGGTGACTACCCCGACTATTGCTACTAGTTCCTTTGGTATGAGTGGTTTACACACCACATTAGTAAAGTTGGATGGCACGAATTACCCGAGTTGGTCAATGGCCCTTTCTACTTTTATTTATGCTAATCGCCAATCTAGGTGGCTCCATGAACCACCACCCGAGGATTCAGCTAATTTAGAAGAATGGAGGGTCACCGACGCTGCGTTGCGTACTCGTGGGGGAAGTATGACCGATTCTATTCGTCCTCTTTTTATGAATTGTATGACAGCTCGTGAGGTGTGGTCCAAATGCACTTTACTTTATTCTGGACAGAATAATATGAGTCGAGTATGTGATATGTGGGAGGCATTATTTGAGGCTAAAATTGGTCCTTCCTGGATTGGCGGAATACTATGCTCGTTTTACTTCTTTGTCTCGGCGACTCCGGTCTCATCTTCCACCACCACAACAGCTTACTCGGATGCAGCGAGAGAGAAGCGGACATGCTGGTGGTCCTCTTTCTTCGAGGTCTTGGTCCGGATCACGGTGCCCTAAGACAAATAGACATTCTCTGGGCACCCTTCCTTCCATAGAGGAAGTATATTCTCGAGCTGCTCGGTACACTCCTGATTCGAAAGCTTCAACTATGTCAGATAATAGTGCTATGGTGGCTCGTGGTAATCAAGGAGTTCGTGGTCGTGGCAATTGGAGTACAAGTAACTTTAATCATGGTCGTGGCCGCACTATTCCGGGTCGAGGTGTTCCTCGAGGTGGTAGTACTGCTAGTGCTAGAGGAGGTCGTGGAGGTCGTTTTTGTACTCATTGTCAGTTGGCTGGACACACTATTAACTATTGTTATGATCTCCATCCTGAGTTGCGGGGTTTACGGGCTTCCATTGATATTGAGCCTCGGTCTTCTTCATCCTGGATCGCTTCCGAACAAAGTCTGTCGCTTGACTCGTGCGAAATATGATGAGCTGATTAGAGCGCGACAACCCGGTGGTTCTTCGCTCCCGTTGCTACTTTGGCACAACATAATGATGGTACTTGTCTCTTAGCCACTACAGATACACTTAGTCCTTGGATTATTGATTCAGGTGCCACTCATCATATGACTGGTGATTCGCGTCTTCTTACTTCATCTTCTTCTACTCCTTCCACTTCAGTCACCTTAGTAGATGGTTCAAAATCTCAAGTAGCTGGTACAGGTTGTGTGTCATTGAATTCCTCCATATCTTTGCCTTTTGTTTACCATATTCCTCGATTCCCTTATAGTTTGTTATCTGTCAGTTCCATTACTCGTGATCTTGATTGCAATATCACCTTTTCTCCATCTTCATGTGTCCTCCAGGATCGGAAGACTGGACGCCGGATAGGTGGTGGGCGTGAGGCTGGTGGATTGTATCTTCTAGACCCCGTGATTGTTCTTCCATCTGCTACTATTCGGAAGAAGGCTGTGGATGACTCTTATCGGTTGCATTGTCGTCCTGGGTCATCCGTCAACGATACACTTTGTCATTTTCCTTTTGTGTCTAGATCGAGTCTTAAGTTTGATTGTGAAACGTGTCAGTTGGGAAAGCATCATCGTGTGTCTTTTCCACCCCGTGTTTTGAGTCGTGCTTCTCAACCATTTGAGTTAGTCCATTCTGATGTTTGGGGTCCTAGTCGAGAGTCTTCATTTGGTTTTCGTTATTTTGTCACTTTCACTGATGATTGTACTCGTACCACTTGGTTATATTTAATAAAAGATCGTGCGAGGTATTTCACTCCTTTCGTCAATTTTACAATGAAGTTACTACTCGATATGGATATCCTGTTAAATGCTTACGTACG